TTAAACCTTGTGGAGTTAACCCAGTCCAAGGGTATAACTTATGAGTAAACTCTAGCATATATTGACGTTATGTTAGAGAGCTAGAATATTTATTGATGTTAATCCACTCTTCCCAAAGAGATGGTTTTGACCATATACATGAATGTATATGAGCAACATTCCCCAAACCGGAAACGTTGGTTTCAACAACTATGGCGAAATAGTTGAAATGTGGGGGATAAATTGGGGAGAAGTAATGTGGAATGTCGCTTGGGTGATTCTAAAGTGAAAGTGATACTTAGAAGTTTTGCGTAAACCCTAAGCTATATCATAAATGTCAGTACATTTAAAGAGATACTTGTGAAACTCAAGTACTCTAAGGTTAATGAAGTGGAGAGACTTCAATACCGTTGGCATGTGTTATGATTATTGCAAGGCAATAAAATCAAGTCAAGCTCACAAGATGTGCAGTGAATTGAAAAGAGATGAGTCTTTGGTGTATTGTACCCAAAGGGATCTCAACGGATGAACCAAAAGGCAATCTATTAATAGATATGCATTTATGGTTGATAGGGAGCAGTATCTTGGAAAACGTCCAAGTTAAACTATGTATCCACTCTAAGATCGGTGAAGTTCTATAGTATGGCCCGCAAAGACTAGCGTTAATAAAACGCACTTGTGCACAAAGGTGTTATTGCAAGGGCTAGGAGTGTTATGTGATAAATCTCGTCAAAGATAATGGAAACATAACACTATGGATTGATTAATTTCTAGCAAAGTTATTTGGATTGATCATCTTCGATCAAGTGATAACAAACGTTAGGCCTACCTAGAAATTAATGATAGCATCGAAGGGAATGGACTCGTGGCCTAGGACAAATCATCATGGCGGTAACTCTACCTAAGTAGGATTGGCAGACCCAACCTCTAGGTTCAAGGAGAAAACAAAGTTGTGAATGATGGTCCGACATTGTCAAATTATTCAAAGTCCATTCTCATGATGAGACAATGTCCAACTATAAGGGTAAACCTAAAGATGGAAGGTTTTTAATGGTTTCTAAGTTTGACCAAATAGTGTATTTTCAGAATACATGTTTAGAAATCACCTATGTGAGTGTGAAGTGGAGCCGCTTCAAGGAGAATAAAAGAAGGCCAGTTCTCTAAGCACTCATGAGACCAGGCGGCGTTCATGGCTAAAAAGAACACAACAATGAGAACCAGTGACTGGATAAGAGTTAGTTGTGTGACATACGTTGTCTTAGTATACGATCAAAACCGACGGTTCAAAGATATCACATCTACCGATTGGTGAGTATACTCGATATATGTTCACTAAGGAAGGTTCAAAGGGAAACCTACCTATTCCGATGCAACTAATTCTTAGTCGAGAATCACACGATTTTTTGCATAGTTTTTAAAGTACAACATTCTTCATTCATATGGGGGATTGTTGGGATTTTTAGTGGAGTGAATGGAAATAAAAGGGGAAAGTTTCAAGAGAGTCTCTTGAAGTATCATGTTGGTAAGATGTGGGAAGGCTGGCCTTGAATTCGATCGATTTGATATAATATGTGGTTAATCGGTTAAATTGGTTTGTGTACCAAACGAACCAAACCAAACCGAGTTGAACCAAATCGAACGGAACCGATATGGCGGTTGGAATAATTAAACCGGTCCAACTATCATGGGCCGAACCGATGCAATGGTTCATTATTTTAAAATGAACCAATGCGTTGGTTGGGGTGTAACTACCCATATGAAGAGTTGCCTCCCTTCGTAAGCACCCTTTCATTTTCTATAAATAGCACCTAACCCCCTTTGGTTTTGACATGGTTTTTTTTGGTACCAAAATTCTGCCAAAATCCAAAACTAGTTTTCTGCATTCTTTCAAAGAGAAAATCGAGTCAAGTGTGGTTTTCGCCGGTTCGCTGCGTTCGATGGGTTCCGGGGTTTGAGGTACCGCTACGCCAGAAAGGTCCATCCTTTCTATCCTGGGAGGAATCATTCCATAACCTTGGGTACTAGAGGGGAATAAGATTCCTTAAGGAGAGATAGTGAATTCTATCGGCTAGGACGCTTGCATATGTCTTTGTATGTTTTCTTAATCTTATGTGTTTGCTTGTGTTGCAAGAAAATTAGTATACGTGAACAATTTCCCCAACATTTTTTTGGATAGTTGAATGTACATAGGCTCTCTACTTTACGTGAATGGAAGACCTTTCTGTTAGTGAGGTCAAGATATTTATAACCTTTAATGTCATGTGAAAAATTCAAAAACACACATTTCCTAGCTCATGGTTGAAACTTGGTTTTGTGATGTCCTAACGTACTAGCATAGTAAAGACAACCAAAAATCACAAGTCCAGATAGGCCAGGTGGTGAGCTATATAAGAGTTCATATGGGGTTTATGATCTATGTCAATTGAGGGTAACTTTTCATGAGGAATACTCAATGAAGAACACAATCATACCAAAACTTTAAAGGAAGGCCATATTGAAATTTGAGTGATCTCGTAACATTAAGGATGTCTTGGTGCTTCCTTTGTACTCTAGAATTTTATTGAGATGTCTCAACACATGACATTTGATGAATGATTCCATGTTTGGAGTAAAAATCTAGAATATGAAATTCAACACCTTGGTTTATTCTAATGGTCTAAATAATTTTATCATATTGAGTTTTCACCATGATGCAATAGTCTTGAAGTCATTTTCTTGCTTCACTCTTGTCATTCATGAGAAAACCTAGGCACCATGAGATTTATTATCCAAGATAATAAGAAAATAGTGAAATCCATTGTATGAAGAAACAGACAAAGGACCCCAAATATTCACATGTATGCGCTCAAAATTGATCTTTGCTGCAGTTTGGGTTTAAGGAAAAGGTAAACATTTATACTAGTATAAATGACAAACTTCACAATGGGAAATCGATTCAACATCTATAGAAGGTATTGTTTTTTTTAACTCTTTGAATCTAGGTTGAGAGGGATGGCCAAGTCTTCAAAGCCATAGGCAAAAAGGTTGTGGGCTAGAGTTGTGACTGCAAGTCGAATGCTCAAGCATGATGTTCTCTTCTATTTGGTGATTTAACTAGTATAATCCACTAATCTCTCGGGCAGGACCAATCTTTATCCTGCTGATAAGTTCCTAAATGCAACAGGTTGGATTGGAAAGTGAGTGAGATATGAAATGAATTAGTAAGTTTGTTGACCGAAACCAGATTGAAGGAAAAAGTTGGTACAAAAGAACACCATGAATGTTCATTTTTGGCATTAACCTAGTAGTGCCAGAATGGGTGACTAGGGATTTGGATCCATTAGGCAAAGTGATATAGACACTGGATACTGGTTATGATAAATGAAATTATATAAAGAGCAAGTAATTACATGATCAGTGGCTTCTGTATATAAAAACCAAATATCGACAAGTTTTAGTGGATGCTTTGGATATTAAGCGGACAAGGTTCATATACTTGCATAGTTAGGAGTTGCAGAGATACATTTGGGCACTGGAGATCACTGGGACTAGGACTGGACAATCAGTTAGCGGTTAGAGGTTAACGGGTCGGTTACAATCGAAACCGGCCGATTATCCACTAATCGAGATAACAAAAATTCGATTGGTGTTCGGAGGCTGGCCGATACGGGTTTTTGGTCTTGGGGGGCTTTGATTAACCGAAAAACGGAATAACCGAAGTCTTAAAACCCTCTTTCGGTCGATGATCGATAGGGATGGAAGGTAGTTCGGTTGACCATAACCGACCCGACCGGCTCTCCACCCTTAACTGAGACATGTTGATGTGATGACCTTAATGAACTTCCAGATTCAGGAGAGCTAATTGATAGTAGGAGAGAATGGTGAGCTTAGTTGACCAAGTAGCTTTAGTAGTCTGTGAATGTCCTCCATGGACAATTTCAAATTGGTGTAACCACCTCCCATTTTTCTAGCAGAGTGATTTTGTGGCGTAGTCAGAATTTCTTCATTTAATCCATCGTTACTTTGTACTTGTACAACAAACCCTCCAGAAGAACCACCTCCTTATTTTTCTTTCTTCTCAAGCTTAAAGCAATCAACTAGGACATGATTGTCTTTCTTTTAGTATCGACAAAACAAGTTTCCTTTGATTTGTGAAGATGGTGCTGCAAAGAGAGCCACTGATTCCACTTGGGACGCTTGAGTTGCATTAGCATACCTCTCATGTTGAATGACAATAATGTAATGCAGTTTCCATTAGAGCAAGTGGATTCATCCTAAACAAATTGGTCCTAAAACCCTCATACACATCATTAAGACCTTTGAGAAAACATATCACATATTCATTGCCCCTATATCTCTTGATTGTCACTTTAGTGACACATGGTAGAGTTGTATTACGAATGTCTAGCTCCACATAAACAACTAGAGATAGGAAGAAATTTGTTCAACTCTTCCCAATAGCTTTTTAGTTTTGTATAAAATTCATTAACGAATCTATTTACATGCATCAATTTAAAGTATATAATGTTGTTTATATATCACTAATTATGATGTTATCAGCTTGGCCGCACCATAGTTTCATATCTTCCCAAACCACACGGCATTTTCCACAAAGAAACAAAAGTAACTAAGCTATGATGCGCAGAGATCCCAGAATCATAAAGAATACTGAGGTATTACTCGATCTGTTGCCAATAATGAAGCCCAACTTGTTCTTACTTTTGAGAGTAACTCAGACTGTCCTGCTCCATTAGTTGTTGGTTCCAGTGAGCTTGATCGGGAATCCCAAAACTACGTTCGAGTTTAAGTAATAAGGGTTGGTGACACAGGTGGTGAAAATGGCAAGGATTCATTAAGGCTGTGGTTGTGGCGTGGACCTCCATGCCTGTAGATTCAGCCACGGCGGTTGGAGTTTGATAGCATGGAAGAATGGAGGAATGGTAATGGGAAATTATAGTTCATAGAACCAGCCTATGATACCATTAAAAATTTGATGAAGAGATAAATTGGAGAGAAAAACGCAAAGGGGCTCTTGGGCCAAGCCACCGAGTTAAATCCAAACCCGGTCAACACGAATTTTATCTGTCTTAATCGGGTCGGATCGGATAGCCACGGGTCCGGATTTCATTGACATCCCTACTCTTGATCACAAGGGCATATATACACACACATGATCATTCTCAATCAGTCTGTACAAAATTAAGAAAACTAATAAATAACAAGACGACACATGACACTAGGCAGCAAATAATAAAATGTCTTGCCACTAAGTTGAACGACACCGCTTTTGATCTCTACCCTTCACTTGTTTCAGAGATAAATGACTTTGTGTCAATGGGTCCAATAGCACCAAACGTGGTTCATCTATCTAAGCATGGTCCAATTCCCAAGTTCATGGTTCATCTATCTAGTAATCATAAATATATGGAAGACTTGGAAGTGAACTGGGCTGGGCAGTAGGCACAGGTGATCATCAGTTACAGCTTTGGCGGACGATTGTTCCGTTGTGGGTGTTCAACAACACTTCACATGACATTTTTGCCTGCATACCAATCCATATATATAAACATACTGAAAATTTTAACATTGATATCTCAACTGACAAGACAAAAATAAAAATAAAAACATGCATTCACAGACGTAACCAATTTCGTCATCATTTTTCTTCGGTTGATCAATCATTTTTCATATAATCTCATCCATCAATCTGAAATCACATCAACCATTTTTCATATAATAGATTGGACCAAATACATTTCTAAATCGTAATTCTTATAAATTATTTTAGATTCAATTTTGTCTGGGTTTGAACTCAATTATATATGGGCATGCCACTAGGTAAAAATAATAAAACAGTAAATCAGTAAAAATAACAGGGTGATGTCTATTTTTTCTTGCAGCCTTTTTTTATATTCTTTTATGTTATCCAAACATATCAAAATACTAAGAAATAGTCAAATGTTCACATCCCGTTAGTAATTTTGTTAGTAATATTGACTTGGAAACATGATACTGACATGAAAGAGACACATGAAGGTCAACATTCCAAAATTTTAGTATTTTAACTAAGAAAAGAGTTACAAAATTATTAAATATGAAATAAAAATGACTAATATTTTGATGTATTGCGAAATATTTGGTTAATTAATAACATTTTAATAGATTTGGATAATATAAAAGAATATGACAAAAATTGAATAAAAAATAGACATTAACCAAAATAACAATATATACAAACTTACAAAGAATGTAAAAGAAATTTTGGAGTTTGGTTTGGGTGTGGTTTTACCTTGAAAGGGAATCCAAAAGAAGAGAGGAAACCCAACCTCCCACCAACTTCCGCCACCGTACCAAACGGGACCTTCCCTCTCTTTAAGTCCCTCATCAGCAACAACCCGTCCGACAAAACGCCGATCCCGTTCACTTCCATCTCCGCCTCCAAATACGACGTCGTAAGCGCCCCCACCACCACCGTCGGCCTCCCTTCCCCCGCCGCCGTCACCTCCCCGAGCCTCTTCCCTCTGTAGGACACCACCACGTCCAGCCTCGACAGCCCCACCGAGTAAACGTCGACGTTTCGCACCTCCACCGTCACCCGCACCGTTATGTCCACGATCGGAAACGGCACCGTGTGGATCTTCACTTTGGTCAGCCGCAGCCGCACGATCGTCAGGGTCGGATCCGACGGCCAGAAGGCGTAGGCCGTGAGCGATGCGAGGAGCAGGAGGGACAGACATGCGACGGCGGCGACTGTGAAGGAAGTGGTGGCTAGACGGCGGGAAGGTTGAACGGCGTCGTTTTGGTCGGGCGGTGGGCTGGGACGTTGTAATAAGGGATGGACGGAGTTATCGTCGGGGAATTCGGCGACGGCCGCCATTGAATCATTGGTGGGGGGGTTTTGTATTCTATTTGTTGGTTTGCTTTGCTTTTGCTTTTGTGTTGTTGGTTCTCTCGGCTCTCGCTTTAATTTCTCGATGACTTTTGTTTTCTTTATTATATTTCTGGCGTATTATTTTAACAATTTGATTGAGTGTTTGTAAATGGGTTGGGCTCTTTCCCATCTGTTCTTTTGGTAAAAGGATTTCTTTGGCTTCACGGAGGCATGTGGTGGTGAGGTAGGATGGTCATTGCTTAAGCTATAGTTGTCTCCACGCAAGTGGTGATCTTCTCTAGGATGACAAATGATTTGGTGGGGAAATGGATGGAATTGGATCGAAATGACATTTTCATTGAGTTGAGCTAAATTGATGTGAATTGTGTATTGGTTTTTTAGGAGCAATTTTACAATGTTTTATATAGGATCGGTGTTTTGATTTACAAACGATACTATTATTGTACAAACTGAACTTAACATTATGGTATAAATTTAGTTTGTGCTTATATATTTGTTGTACAAATTTCTTTATTGTATAAACTGAACTTATATTTTTATCATTATGTCATAAATTCAGTTTGCACCCGTTCCTTTTATGCAAATTCATTAACGGTACAAACTGTACTTGTGCTTTTAACGTTATAGTACAAATTCAATGTGTACCTCAAAACACCAATACTTTAAATTATAATAGAAGGTAGTTGATTAGACTAATAAGTATATATAATTTGTGCTTCGTCTTTCTTTATTTTTAACGATTAATGGGGTGAGAAAGAGGTAGCTCCAATAAAGTTTGCTTAGAGCTGTGTATGTGGTATCATTCATCAAACTATAGCGCATTACTGAATTTAAGGAACACTTTGAGAATATTCGAGTTAAAAGGAAACTCAAGATAAACCTAATGTATTATTTAACAATTCCTCATTTTGGAATTGTGAAATGAGGGCTAAATTACATGTATGCTCACTTAAATTACATAAATTTTTACATTTGTCATATGTATTACTTTTTTTTCTTATTCGTCATTAATTTTACAAATACTTTTATTGTTAGTTACCGATCATCAGTAGCTGTCGGACTCCGTTAACTTCGTCAGTATTTTGATCATGTGGCAAACGAAACTGTTGACTAGACTGTTAATTTAATCATATTTCACTTTAAAAATAAAAAACTGATCTCTCATTTTTGCCCGAGAAATGATTGCATCATCTATGACTTGTAGATCTGGGTTTGCTCCGAACGATGGGTAATCTAGGAATGATAATGATATTGCCCCCTCAACGGATTTGGGTTTGCTAGTGTTTCTCTCTGCTCTCGTTCACTATCCCGCTGACAATGAAGAGTTGGGTTCGCCTACAGTCGTGTGGAGGCGATGATAATGCTCGTCTCTCCTTCTCACTCTCCCGCTGACCAATTCACTAGAAATTTGAACTAGTTATGGATGGGTTATGAGTTGTGGGCTTGTCTTCTCGGACTGCTCCCTGGCCTCTCTCCACCAAGCATTTCACGAAGAACAACGTTCCGTCGCTGAGAAGAACAACTCGATAAATCTTCCAAGAACCCCGCTCCTAAGCACCCTTCCCTTGGTAAACTCCTTTGACCCGGGGGAAGGGGAAAAGGTGGGGCCACTCCTCTGCCTGATTTTTATATTTTTTAATTTTTAATTTCTTTAAATTGACCTGACATTAAGTTAACGGTCCAGTTAGGTGTTTCATTTGCCACGTAATAAAAAAATTAATGGAGTTAATAGAATCTGAAGGAGACTAACGACCAGTGACTAACGTTGAAATAATTCATAAATTTAGTGATATATAAGAAAGAAAAGTAATTATTCAGGTGGCAAGTGTGAATATTTATGTAATTTGAGTGTCCAAATGTTTAATTTAGCGGCAAAATGTGATTGCAACATTTTGCTAAGTTATCTTGGCAAAATACATTTCCATAACCATAACTTTCACGTTTGTGATAATTATATCCAAAACTATAGAACTACACAAAATGTCCATTTTCATCATCCCTTTAACAGTGACACTTAACAATATGACTGGAAACGAAAATGTCGAGTAGACAAATTTTCTTCCTCACCAATCCACATAAATTAACAAAAATAAATAAATACAAAATCTTCTCACACCCAACTTCCCCTATACCTTCTTCTTCCCCATTGTTCACAAGATCCAACTTCCTTCCCCAAAACCACTTTCCCATGTTCCTCCTCCTCCCCGATTTCCAAGCAAAAACAGGCCATTGCTAACCTCACACTCACCTCCTCTCTTTCGTCCTCCTTTACTCGCACACCGAATTTAAAAGCAGACTGCTTCTATTGGGCCGGAAGATAGATGCTGGAGGCCCATCGCGTGACAAGCCCAGAGCCTCGTGTCCTAGTCCAAGTGCAGCTTGTATTAGTTGCTGTAGTGGTGGTGTTGATGTATGGGAGTATATAAACTCCTCACATGTAAGGCCAATGGCCGTAAAAGAGTAATAAGAAAACCTAGTCTGTGGACGTAGCTCTCACACACTGTTAGGGTGAACCACGTTAAAAAACATCGTGTCCATTGTCAATTCCGTATCTTGTTGTTTGATTTTTCTCATGGTATCAGAGCAGGTTGATTCACCCTGCTGAAGAACTCTTGAAGTTACGTCATGGGCGACAAGGACGAGAAGTCACTTGCTAGCGCAATTCAGGTCGGCGCTAGTAAGGATCAAGATTCCCTGTCACCGTTTTATCTTCATCCATCTGAGACGGCGAGTCAGCTGCAGGTTGGAGAAGTTTTAACGTCGTCGAACTATGGGGAGTGGATCGTGGAGATGACTGACGCCCTCATAAACAAAACAAAAATTCGGTATCTTAAACAGTCGTCAGGCTATGGATTGTTCTTCCCGACTGCTGGGAATCTTGAGTTAGTGGCCTACTGTGACGCTAATTGGGGTGGCTGTGAGGGTACACACCGTTCCACTAGTGGTTTCTTCGTCAGTCTAGGAGGGGCGCCTGTTTCCTGGCGTACCAAGAAACAGAAGGTTGTTGCCTATTCCTCTGCTGAGGCCGAGTATCGTGCCATGGCTAGCACGGTTAGTGATGTATTGTGGCTACGGTGGTTGCTCAGTGAGCTTTGTGTTCCTCAGCTCACTGCTACTCCTCTCTATGGTGACAATCAGGCTTCCTTACACATCGCAGCTAACCCAGTTTTTCATTAACATACTAAGCACGTGGAGATGGACTGTTATTTTGTCCGAGAACGCGTGGTATCGCAGAATATTCCGCCTCCCAAGGTTAGCTCGCAACTTCAGCTTGCGGATCTCTTCACCATAGGGCTTGGTTCTGACCGTTTCCAGTTTTTGTTATCCAAGCTGAATGTTCGTGATCTACACAGTTCAGCTTGTGGGGCGTATTGGGCCGGAAGATTGGTGTTGGACAGTTGGAGGCCCATCGTGTGACAAGCCCAGAGCCCCGTGTCCTAGTCCGAGTGCGGCTTGTATGAGTTGCTATAGTGGTGGTGTTGATGTGTGGGAGTATATAAACTCCTCACATGTAAGGCCAATGGCCGTAAAAGAGTATAAAGAAAACCTAGTCTGTGGACGTAGCTCTCACACACTGTGAGGGTGAACCACATTAAAAAAACATCGTGTCCATTGTCAATTCCGTATCTGCTTGTTTGATTTTTCTCAGCTTCTATTCCTACTGAGATTATAGTGTTCTGATGTTGTTTCATGAGACCAAGAAAATCTTCCTAGGTGTCCATAAAGAGAAGGGCTTTGGCACCACTTGGCCGTTCTTCAAAGGACCGAAGAAGCTGGTGGTCGTGGGTGTTAGGCAGAGAAAATGGGAGAAATGGGCTGCTGCAATTTGAAACAGCCACAATAAATTTAGGGCCATCGGAGAACATCACCTCGTAAGCCGGGTAAAAGGGGGCGATGTTAGTGTTTATCTAGTAAGCGGTGGCGTTCTGGTCGAAGGCACTTGAGATGACGCTGTTTGTCGCGCCGATTATGATGTGAAAGCTACTAATCCACAATTTTCTACACCCATTGAGTGGAGCTCACAATTCTGCAAGTTGCCAAATAAAGAAAAGAAAAGCCTATAATTGTATAGCTGGATTGACAAATCCTACAAGGCTTAGTAAATGGGAAGCTTCAAAAGTCTCTTATAACTTGCCACCAGCTAGCTTGGAGGAAACCCAATCGTACACTAAACCTACTACCCAATAAAATAATGATATTTACTTGGAACTATAAGCCGCATATGAGGCTTATAATTGGGTTGAGTGATAATGAGTGTAGAAGCAGAGAGCTAGTGAGTAAAGCATATATTGGGTTGTCTTTTTAAAGGCAAAATATTTTCTAGTGAAAGACAAAAATTGTGATATAAATAATATAGTGAAACAATTTTCTTTGATATTTTCAATACTAAAATTCCACAATATTTCCACTGTGTCCTAAAAAATTGGTATCAAATCCGATACCATTATACTATCCTCCTAAACCAGCCTCATACATAATACCAAAAAAATAAAAAAATCATGGCAGCAGTCCAGGAGAACACAATTTTTGTAAATACCCCCAATCATATTCCAATCTTCTAGGGTGAACTCTACAAGTGATGGAGTGATCGAATGGAGAAAATCTTCATTGCTCAAGACTTGTGGGAAATTGCCGAAGAAGGTTATGAGGAAGTTAAGACGGAGGAAGACTTTGGCTAAATGTCATAAGCAAAGTTAAAGCAACTTAAGGTGAATGTCCGGAGGAATGCCAACGCTCTACGAATAATTCAATAGACGCTCAACAAGGCTATATCCTCAAATTTTTGGCATTAGAAATGCTAAAAAGGCGTGTGAAGTATTGTAGAAAATTTTTTAGGGCAACGAACGGGCAGTCTCTATCAAACGCCAAAATTTATGGCATGATTTCAACAACCTGTCGATGAAGGAGACTAGAGTATTAAAGACTTTCATTTTCCTACAGCAGAGATAGTCAACCAGATCAAAGCCACTATTGACGTTATGGAA